GCACTAATTGCAGACTAGTCAGACCTTGAACACACGAAGATCCCCCTGCCTCTGCCTCCTGCACGCTGAGATCAAAGGTGTGCGCCATCACACCTGGCATCTGGTGTGACCTTTTAATCTCCAGGGTCTTATTTTTGTTTGCCTCTCAGGGGCCTCCCTCCTTGGCCTGTTTCCATAGAGAATTCCATCAGAACTTTGTGACCTTGGGCTGGACAGCCTTCTCCATCCTACTGAGTTTCTAGAAGGCAGGGACCTTACCTAGCACTGGGCTGAAACAAAAGGGATACCAGTAAAGTCTGAGTAACAAACGGTGGCTTTCCCGGCAGGAGGATTCTTGTTTTTAACATTGTAGGCTAAGTGAAATCCCAACTATGGGTGCAAAGCACTACCAAGCAAGTGGAAGACATAACAAGGCTTCTAGATAGGAAACGCATAGTTTGTAAAGCTCTGGGTCCACTTACTTCACTCGGTTGGTTTCTTTTTTGCTGAGGCACTGTAGATCTGCTCAGTAGCTTGGCTTTGCTGGGTCTCAGCTGTGGAGAGTCAGAGGCTAAGGTGGGAGCTGGGGTGGGCTCAGGATGCTCTCAAGGCTAAGGTGGGAGCTGGGGTGGGCTCAGGATGCTTCCAAGCTCCTCCTACCCACTGTCACTCAGGCCAGAGCCAGGTTTCATTGTCTTTGCTTTCTGTTCCTTGGTCTCCATTTCTTGACTTTCCCACTTCATTGAGCCTCTTTTCATAGAAGCCTGTGGAAGCGCTGCCTGCTCTGTCCAACCAGCTGACTGTAATTTCTATCTAAAGCCCCATTATCTGCAGATCAGTGGCCTGTTTGACTCACTTGAGTTTTTAAAGGCGCCAGAATCATTTTGCCTTGGAAACAAATGTATGTTTATGTTACCCCCTAAATCTACCATTCAATTCATATGTTAGGGCTAGACCAAGGACTATGAGCATCTAGTAGAGGGATGTGAAATAGGGATGAGGGAAAGACAATGACACTTGTATGTGGGAGGAGAAAGAAAAAAATCACATGAAGCATTTTCATAATACACAGAAATTTCCTCTCCATGCTTTTCTCATTTCTCTCTGCAAATTGAAATGTCAAGCAATAAGCTCAAAATTATAGCCAAATCGAGGGATTTTTGGCTAAGGATGTTGCATCTTTCAGCTGTGTTGGTGAAGAACAGGGTACTGTGGGAGCCAGCCCAGTGATGTCTGCTTCCTACTGTGCACATCCTGTGTGGTCCCTTCCCCGAACAGAAGCGATGTCTTGTAACTTCCAAGTTTGGTTCTGACAGACTGCAGGGTTTGTGCTGGATCGTGTGTTCTGGATCACTCATTAGACACCCTCCGGGGCCTAACGGGAAGTCCACATACTGGAAAGCACAGGTTTCTCCCAAGACTCACGAGAACTCTTGAAGTGCATTTCAGATGACTAGAGCAGCCACCCAGCGCAGACTGACCCCTTGATTGTAGCCTGGTGAGAGACCTGAGGCCCTTGGCTAAGGCATTTCCTCATTTCTGTCTAACAGAGACCACTAGGAAGTAACTGCTTTAGGTTTCTAAGTTTGGTGTGATTTATTACACAGTAGTAGATAAACCAAACCAATGGTAAGCAGCTGGGCTAGACCAAAACTAAATGAATTTTGCTTTGGAAGGGCTGTTGTTAAATCCATACTGAAGCTTTGGGACTGAAGCTTGTTTGTTTGTTTTTTAATTGTAGTTTCACCTAATTATGAGCAACTGGTTGAATGGGATGTCAGATTATTATTAATGTAAGATGATGTTCTCAATGTGTTTCTATATCTTTTTTAAAGTTTTAATTGGGCTGGGGATGTAGTTCAGTTAGCAGAATGCTTGCCTAGCACATGCAGAGTGTGGACCTCCAGCTCTGTGTAAAGTGATATGCAATCCTGACACTCCCCAGACCCAAGCAGGAGAATCAGAAATTGAAGGTCATCCTCAACAACATAATGAGATTGAGGCCACTAGCCTGTCTCAGAATAAACAAACAAATAAAGGGAAGTTTAGAAGTGATACAGTGGTGTAGTTTATTTTTATGACTAAAGCAAAAACCAGCCAGCCGATTTTTAAACCGAAATAGGGCATAAGGAACTGGATTATGACTTCTTGTATTTTTATAAGGAAACAGGTTGAAATATAACTTTGCAGGGCTTAGAAATAAAATAAAAATAAGTAAAGTTAAAGAAATTAGGTTTCCAGAGGAATTGCTGAATTTGTATGCTAGAACACACACACACATATACTTTTCCTTCTATTTTTTTCATTTTGGAAGGCCTCTTCATTTGGTGTACCGTGTATGAGTCCCCAGAGTCACTTCCTCTTGCTCACATTCTCCTCTATGGTTATGAGCAGAAGCAGCAGCCGCATCTGTGTTATGGGAGCCCCGCCCCTTCGGCGTGTTGCCCATTTCCCCTTCCGCCGGCACTGTAGAGGGCCTTCCTCTAGGAGAGCCCTGACCATGCCTGTAAGAACGCAAGGGAGAAAGAGCAGCGCGTTTCCATATCAAGAGAGCCCCTGCGCAGGTCCTTTAAGAAGGCTTTCGAGTTCAGCCCGAGGCTGTACACCGGTGGTTGGGTCGGAAGCCGGCTCCCAGGTGGACGTGTTTGATTTGGCCCGCACTGCGTTGTCTCACACAGAGTTCTTTTCAAAAAGAAAGTTGCCAGCCCTTAAAGGCCGGGGAGCTTCACGTTTGCGAGGCTCTAACAACAGCATGCCTGTACTCCAGCACGGCCACGCAGGGCTCCGGCTGGGAACTGCTGTCTGTTGTAGATAGAGGCCTTCCCCTTCTCCGCTGCTCCGAAGGGTCCTGTTCGCCTTACTTCTTCAGGCTTTATTTAGTTTCTTTCCTGGGCCCTGCAGGCTTGACTTCACTCACTTTGATCTTAACAGACAACTTCTTAATGCACAATTAAGAAGTAAGATTGAGGGTTTAGGGCAAAGCCCAGTGGTTCACAGATGGGTAAGTCAGACCTCTGATGCCCTTTCCCCGACAGCTGCCTTCAGAGAGAGCATCTTCTGGTTCATGAAGGCTGGCAGGGAAGAACAGCCTCTTTCTAAGTTAAACACACACCATTAAAGATTCGAAATGAGGGTCCTGGGCTGACTGCTGTTACGTCACCTTGACACAACTAGAGTCATCTGAAAGGAGGGAACCTCACCTGAGAAAATGCCTTCATAAGATTCAGCTACTGGGCATTTTCTTAATTAGTGATTGATGGGGGAGGGCCCAGCCCATTGTGGGTGGTGCTGTCCCTGGGCTGGTGGTCCTGGGTTCTATAAGAAAGCAGGCTGAGCAAACCATTAAGTACAAAACTCCTCCATGGCCTCTGCATCAGCTCCTGCCTTCAGGCTCCTGCCCTGTTTGGGTTCTGTCCTGACTTCCTTCAGTGATGGACAGTGAGCTCTGAGGACCTGCAGGTGAAAGTGAGTACTGCTTTGAACCGGTCTTTGAATAGTCTTTACAATATGTGGTTTAAATATTTTGATTTTTCTGATGAACTGTGTTGCTTTTTCTGAGTCAGGAACTACAAATCTGTCAGAAGATTGGGTAATTTATCTTTGAAAACTGGTTACCCTTGTTCCCACAGTTAGTGATATATTTTCAAGGAAATTTTGCACAGATAAAAACTTGGTTGTAAAGTGAGTGTCAGGTTTTTGCATTCTGTATTGCTATTGTTTTTTGAGACAAAGTCCTACTATGTAGCCCTGATTGACCTGGAACTCACTGTGTAGACCAGGCTAGCATGGACTTCACAGAACTTGCCTGCATCTGCCTCCTGAGTGCTGGGGTTAAAGGCGTGCACCACCACACCTGACCTACTCTATTTATTTTTGAAACAGCTTTCAGTGAGTATCTGTGTACGTACCAATCACTGCTTTCATAAGCATGCTAATTGAACATCCAAAAGCTGGCTTCTAAACAGTTTTAAAATGAGCTCCCTGTGGAGAGATGGCTCAGTGGTTAAGGGCACTGACTGCTCTTCCAGAGGACTTGGGTTTGAGTCCTAGCAACCGCATGGTGGCTCACAACCATTGGTGACTCCAGTCTCAAGGGATCTGACACCCTCTTCTGGCCTCTGTGATCACAGGGCATGGTTACCGTGCACTGACCTAAGTGCAAGCAAAACACACACACACACACACACACACACACACACACACACACACACACACACACACCAAAATAGCCAGCTCCCCGAGATTTTTCTTTGGAGAAGTTTAGATGTGCAGAATTTTCTGGATGTTCGGTTCCTGTTGCCCTTGGTGTAGAGTAGAAATGCAAAGGGTAGGGGGAGAAGGCAGCAGATGGGAAGCACTTCCTGGAATGAAGCCCCTGCACACATTTCCTGGAATGCACCACAGACCAAGGCCTGGTTCTGCTCTGTGCGTGTGGGGTCTGTTCCTGCAGTCACCTGGATCCAGTTCTAGTCTAGAACACGCTTTTACTCTGTTTACTTCCTCCAAGTCTAGCCAAGTTTCCAGCCAGCAGGAAGCACACTCTGAATCCTTAGCAAGTGAAGGAAGATGTGGACATATGGACATACAGCAAGCACAGGACAGAAAAGAATTGTATCTGCGTGTTTCTAGCTGTAGGTTACAGAATATTGACCATAGTGACTTAAGCAATAAGAACTTTAAAAAAAAAGTTATGTCAGGTGACATAAAGTTCAGAGTCATGGCAGTTCCAAGCTGAACAGTGTCATGGAGGACCCAGATGTTTTTCATTTTTGTACTCAACCATCTTCAAAATATTGATGATGTCTTCCACAAGATGGGGGTAAGCTTGCCAGATGTCATTTGCAGACATGCCCATACCCGGTGAAAAAATAGCGCTGTTTGCTATTGTGAATCTTAGTCTATTGCAGAAAAGCTCTTTATAAAGACTCAAGTAGACTTCAGCTTAGGTCCTTTTGGTCAAGATGGACTCCCAAGCCCATGCCCTCACTGACAAGTATGCTGGGTGTGCACCAGTGGTCACTAGCTTGACACACTAGGAAGCAGTAATTGAGAAAAGAAGGGAGAGACACCATTGAAAAGAGAGTGGGGTTGAAGGCAGGATGTGTACCATATTTCCAGGCTAATGTGTCCTCACCTGGGGAAGAACAGCTAATAGAGACTGCAGGTGGGAAGGTCATAGGTCATATTATTTTCAAGGAACACCATGTGGCATTCAAGGGCAGATCCCAGCATCGTTGGACCATATACATTTACTGATGTAAAGGATGGGAGGATCTAAGCACAGAGTCGCTGGGCCTAGTGCAGGTCCTTGGAAATTTCATCACGTATTGCAAATCTTTTTCCAGGGACGCTCCCAGCCTCCTGACACCTAACAACACTGCTCTGTTGCAGAGCAGCATAGGGTGGAGCGAGGCAGCATTTCAGGACGAGTGTTTTATTATTAATGGTTCAGCACTTGGGTGGGGGAGCATTTGTTACTCCAACAACCGGTCCATGAGAAAATGTATGCACATTATAAAATAGGTGTCTTAGAGAAAGAACCTTAAATTTTTGTTATTAATGACTTATTTATTTAGCTGGAGATGGTTTAATATTTCCTTTAAAGAGTTGAAGTTCACTGTGTGCTCTTTACTCCTGGAAACTGTATGAGAGTGAAAGCCCTGAAGTGAATTCATCTTTCTACTTTCTGTAGATAAATGTTTGGCCAATTGTCTCAGTTTCTTTCCTGCAGCTGTGAAAAATGCTGTGAGGGAGATAGGGTTTGTCACAATTCCAGGTTTCAGCCCGTCAGGGCAGGGACATCCCAGTGGGAGGGACTTGAAAGAACTGGTCACGTTGCATCCATAGTCAAGAGCAGAGAGGAATGAATGAAGTCATCCATGGTAGTGCTCAGTTTGCAGTCTCAGTCTTACAGAGCCCGGGGTCCCGGCTCAGAGAATGGTATTGTCCACAATAGGTCTCCCCACATCAATGAACTTATTAGACAATCCTTCTCAGACACTCTTAGAGGCTAACCTTAATCTACACAGTCAGTCCCTCACAAGTGTGCCTGGAGGTCTGCCTCCTGGGTGTCAAGTTGGCAGTATTTACCATCTTGTCCTTTATATTCCAATGGGCACATATAAAACTGATATTACCATATAACACCTGTATGATTTGGGTTGGTTTGAATCTCTCAGGAGCCTGTTAATTAACAGGAAATTTGAGTGTTGAATTTAGAAACGGCACACACTGAACTTTGTATCTCTTCTCTTTCCCTTGAAAGAGTGTGTGTGTGTGTGTGTGTGTGTGAGAGAGAGAGAGAGAGAGAAACAGGGATTGCCTTCTGCGCCTGCTGTCCTGGCCATCTTCCGGTGGATGGTGCAGCAGATACTTCTGAGGGACCTGCTACATTGTTGTGTGGTACCCAAGTCTTTCTGATATTACGTTTGTAAAAAAACAAAACAAAATAAAAAACAAAAATCCCTCTTATTTCCCCAGGTTTTTGAGATGGCAGCTAAACTCCACTTTTATATCATATTACACACCAGATTTTTTTTTTTAAAATTCAAACATTTGCTAATGAATGTAGTGTTAATTTGTAGAAGTGTGTCACAGGCTCCAGAACTTAATGACCCTGGTACATGATAACCTTCCATTAATACTTGTTTAATGAAAGAATTAATAAAATGTTTGTATATTATTGAGACTTCAATTATGATAATTTGAGGAAAACAAATTATAGACACTAACCTGTATTTGCTAACAATAGAAAATGTAGTATTACCAATCTTTTGAAAAATTAAGTATTTTCTTCAAATTAAAGACTAAAGTGACATGGTAAATAGCTATTTTAGCTCGACAATTAAGACACTTATTTATATCTAAGGCAACAGAAATATGGGGAAATACAGATGTAATTTGGGAGGGAGGAAGAAGTTGGAGAAATGTTGTGTGTGACTCCATGAGGCCACACATGCATCAGGAGTAGAATGTGGTACTGGACAGAGCTTCCTGCTTCTCAAATGCCATTTACTGCATGTGTATTATAAGGGTCTGCTTCAATGTCTTTCATTCTCTGAAATGTAAAATTATTATTTTATAGCTGCTATTTTTGGACATACAAGTAAATCAATATGCATATTCAAAAGATATTTGTTTGCCCTCTGTATAACATGGTAATATAAATTTATTTCCTTATCTAAATTATCTATATTATCTATATAGATATAGATATATCTAAATTATCTATATTAATACTTATATATAAAAGTATGTTGATAAGTTTTAAACCTCATTTTTAAAGTGTTTTAGCATGCAATGAAAAGACAGTCTTTTACTTTGTATAAAATTTTTTTGTATAAAATATTTTAAAAAATCTTTTTGAAGTATTAGAAAATGAAAGGAATTTAAAAATCGACATTATGGGTCCATGATTCATGCTAATGTTTACTCATGTAAATAGAACAAAATACTGCCTAATTAGTGTGGTTGGTAAATTTTTGGTACTTTAATTTTCTCTGTTATTGTAAACCATGCATAAAACGTTTGCCTATTGAGAAGTGCAGAATTGCCAGAGCTTAAACAGCTGACATCTGCTTACTCTCTTAAAAAAAAAAAAAAAAAAAAAAAAAAAGGATAACAAGCCATTTCAGCCTAATCTACCTCAAATGTGTTCATGTAAATGGAGGTCCATCTATTGACCTGTGTTCTTTTCAGCTCGGGATTGGTCCACATGGTTTATGAAACCAGAAAGGCTGATTTGAAATGCAGATGTCGGGGAGTGGAGTGCACCCTCCCTCTTTTCTTTGCTCTGTCTGTCAGGGAGAAAGATGGCTTGCACAAGGGTCAGTCACCCATACTCACTTAATTACTTTTCTTGGACCCACAGAACTGTCACAAGCTGTGGTGGATGCGGGAGCCGTTCCTCTTTTAGTGCTCTGTATCCAGGAGCCAGAAATTGCTTTGAAAAGGATTGCTGCCTCGGCCCTCAGTGACATTTCAAAGCATTCTCCAGAGTTAGCACAGACGGTGGTGGATGTCGGAGCTATTGCTCACTTAGCCCAGATGATCCTCAACCCTGATGAAAAATTGAAGGTATTTAAAACGGAGGTCAAGAGACAACAGACAGCCAGGGTTCTTACAATCCAAGAACATGAAGATGTGTACAGACGAATGTTACAGAGGAAAACAATTAGCAAATACCGTTGGAAGCAGATACAAATATATCGTGTCTTGGGTCTTTTAAGCAATGGAAATAATGCTTTGAGTGTCACATTTAAGAGGTTATTTGGAAATCTATGTGCAATACTGAAGACTCCACGTAGCATTAGTATTAACATTAACAACTAAAATAAGGCATTGGCCTGACCAAAATAACTAATTAGGAGAGCCTTTGACTAGTATAAGGACCTAAAGATTTTCTAGCCCACCACTAGAATATTTGAATTTCTTATGAACTTTTCACATTTATTAGTCCTCTGTTAGCTTTTTAAATTCACCAATTATACAACTAACACACACACATACATTAAATGTTAGTATTAGCTAAGTGATGGGAATTTCATTGAGATGGTATCAATATCATGTGATAAAGACATTAATTCGGCTTGTTATTGTATTACACACCACACATATCATAAATTATGTATACTGTGTAATTAAGAAGTGATTTTTTTTTTTTACCTAAAGGTCCCACATTTTAATTACCTGTAAAAGGTCTTAAAGTACTCAATAGAGAATTACTGGGGAAATCTAAAAATTTGAGTTTGTGACTAATATGTGAAAGTCTCAATGCTCAGAAATCTTAGATTGTGCTAAATATCTATGCAGCTCTTTTTTTCTCATGAAGAAATTCGAATATTATAAAGCTGTTTACGCTACATCTGAACACCGAGGTGGACGAGTAGACTCCAAATAGTGCTTTGTTTTACTCACCTGTTTTTCTGCTTATCAGCACCAGGTCCTTTCAGCTCTCAGCCACATCGCAAAGCACTCTGTGGACCTGGCAGAGATGGTCGTTGAAGCGGAGATTTTCCCGGTGGTCCTTACCTGTCTGAAGGACAAAGATGAATATGTCAAGAAAAACGCGTGCACTTTAATTAGAGAGATCGCAAAGCACACACCCGAGGTAAAGACAAACAAACAAAGCAATCTGGGGGGGCGGGGGCAGTTACACTTAGTTCCAGTTTTTTAAATAAAACGCCAATTTGTTGATGAGGTCTGAGGCTTGCTCCAGGCCCTCTAACTAGGCCATTGCTCCATGTCCTCAGCCTCGCAGACATTTTGGATGATGTGTCTGTCTGCACATGGTAGAGTGTGTGTTCACCAGGGTTCCTGGGCTCTGCCCACTTGATGGCGTCACTGCCCCTCCCCCACAAATCGTGGCAATAAAACCGACTCCACACATTGTCAGACGTTCTCTAGGGTACAAAATCACCTCCATTTGAGAACCACTGAATTGTATTAATGACATTCGAGTTTGAAATCCAGTTTCTAATCATTGCTAGCTTTCCATTTCTAGATTGTGGGGACTATGAACCCCTGTCGTCCTTATCATTTTATGGCAGCTGGCAGCACTGGGAATGATATTGCATCTGTAGGCTGGGACAGGCCACAGAGGCTCCTGGCCTACTGTGACACTCTGATAGCTAGCTGCTGTAATATGATTTTCTGCTCTGAGTTTTTAGATGTAAAAGAGAGGCAAAGCCCGCCTGTGTCGATTTTGAGGTTGAGACGACTTTTCCTGTGTGTAGTTTGACTAACCTGTTTTCATTTCATTACATGTTAAAATCCTCGCTCTTATTTTACCCAACATCTATATGTAGTTGAGACTTGTCAAGAATGGAAGAACCCAGCTAGTAATCACCGTTAGTGTGTGGGGTAATTAGTCAGACGTTAAGTCTGATGTCTTTGGACATTGATTCATCTTTATACTAAGACGTTGGGATTGGGCACTTCTGTAGTTAGCCAGGTGTGAATTAGCCCTCAGCTTAGAGTCTATGTGAGGAATTTTGAAATTCTTTACAAGAGGGATAAAAGTTGTGTAATTTTTTAAACCACAGAACAAACTTTTCTACTATAAATAGTTGAGCTTTTGAAATAACGGGATTATTATACTTGAACATTTCCTTAATAAATGCAAGTAATCTCTTTGGATGGTATTTCAATTTTACCAGGTATTTTGAAGTCCTATATAAAGTGGCCAAATCATATTTAAAGACCATTTTGTGCTTTCTGGGCCTTTTCCGTTTCTTTCAGCTTTCACAGCTGATTGTCAATGCAGGAGGTGTGGCTGCCGTGATCGACTGCATGGAAACCTGCAGAGGGAACATACGACTGCCTGGCATCATGATGCTCGGTTACGTGGCTGCTCATTCCGAGAATCTGGCCATGGCAGTGATCATTTCCAAGGTCGGTGCTTGCCTCGTTCCTCCTAGATACTGTGGTAGGATATTCCAAGACAACCACAGACTGGCACCAAATAGAAAACATAGCTGCACACAGTGAAAGAATTGTCTAAATGCATTCGCTTGTTTTACTGCTAATGTCAGTGTTGATTGGTTTGTTTTCCAGGGGGATCCCCGACAAAAGGTGTGAGTTACGGAAAAAGTACAGCTTTCCACATCTAATATCAACTCCTTTTGAACATTACTGTCTTTAAATATTATATATATATATATATATATATATATATATATACTTATATATATATTATAATCTTGAAGGATTAATTGTGCATCCATGCAAAAGCACACTATAGTTAAAAACATCATTTAAATGACTTGCCCATTTATCACTTCATGCATCTCAGAGGTTTATGTACTCCCACCCCCCCACCCCCGTTCCTGTCATTTGGATGAGGAGGAAATGGTGCTGGCCATTTCTCTTTCAGATGTGGTCCATCAGGCAATCAGAGGGCACAGCAGACGGCAGGGTTTTTGTTTTTTGTTTTTTTTTCTTCATGTTGTGGGGATTTAGCCTTTTCTCAATTACAGCATTCTATGAATCCACCCTATAGTTAGCCTTGGTCCATAGTAGGTGCTCACAAAATAGGTTGGTATATAGATATGGATTTCCTAGAGACCATGTGCTCACACTGTGTGTGGCAGCCCTCTAGGGGGTAGGGCTCTTATCAGCATAGAAAACCTGCTGCTGTTTGTTAAACAAAAATGGGGATCTTTTTTCCCTTGCTAATCCTCAGAACACAAAGGAGATCTTGCTTTTCTACCTAGCCCGCAGTGATGCTCTGCGGTCCTGAGCTCCCTCATCCGGCCTTTCTTTTGTTCTCGGTCACTGCAGACGCAGCAATGACTGGAGCAGGACTGTGTGTCTGGAGGGGTCGTTAGGGATGTGTCTGGGTTTTGATCCTTGCTCCCTTTGTCAGGAAGATAGCTCCTCGGAGGATGAAGAGAGCCGGGCAGTTGCTTGTGCATCCTACACATCCTTTTGAATCTGGCCAGGGCACTCTCCGCTTCTTTGGTGGAGGGCTGCTGCCAGTCTGTCTGAAGCAAACCACACAGCAGCAAACCACACAGCAGTGAGGCATTTTCTCCTTGTCCTCTGAGGGGCGTCAGGAACCGGGAGACAATGTCCACCATTTACGGCACTCTCTTACCTCTGAAGCACATGTTGCTCCTGGTCTCATCTGAGTGTTCACAGTTGGGGCCAGTAATGTGGAGCCTGGGCCGAGGTGCAAGAGCCATCTGCTCTTCCTCTCTCTCTTCATCCCCTCCTCCTCGATCTTATGTCCTACAAACATGGGTTACAAGTTTACTCCACCTCAGCAGGTCTGATCTTTTCTATTGTGGACAGACCACGTCAGTGCTTGGAAAAGGACAGATATGAAAACATGGTAAGTTTCACGAAACTGATTCAAGGTGTGGGTGAAAGGAAAAAGAAGAGAAAAAGCAGACTAAAAGGCCAGGGGGAAGGCACATGTGAGGGTCTTGACTTCTGCCACAGCAGCATCAGCATGTGATACTGGTTCTTACAGTACTGAATTTGAAATAATTACTATCGTCTCAAACTAGTCACAAAATTATGCCTACACAAAAGCTGGAATTAAAAATTCCTATGTTTATTTGATTCTTCCTTAGGTCTATAAACTGATTTTTGAGGCCCTTTGATGATGTTTTTTTTCTTATTTAAATAAAATTAGAGTCTAAAATGCAAAATGTCCACATGCTACCTGTATAACAAAAGCAAGCTGGCTGGATTCAGCCTGTGGCCATAGCAGAACTGTCAGTATAAAGCTGACCAAAAGTACTGGGAAAGCATGTGGTATTTCAGGGAAGATGTTAGTGGAGTATATTCCATGTAAAAGGCTCTTAGAGTGGCGGATTCTTGCTCGTATTCATTTGATTTTTAGTTTGTTGTAGTTGTTTTATTTTCGGATTACTGTACTTGGGGTGGGTATGTCGCTGAGGACTGAACTGAGGGAGGTCCTCAGTCTTTACTTCTTAAACAAAGGAAAATAAATTTGGAGATCCTAAACATTTCAGTTTGTCACCATGAAATCTGTTTCTGCCTGGTCTGAGGCATCTCTGTTGTTTGCGTAAATGTCCCTCTATTTGGGGGGCAGAAGCTAGTAGAGACATTCTTATTTAAGTTGGATTGTTACAGGTAATTAAGGCAATTTAGTCCTAGTCATTTTATTGACTTAAGAAATGACCGCCCTTGTGATGTGCACACTTATTGAACCATTTAGGAAAAGACGAGAGCAAAGCTGAAATGATTTCTTCTAACGCCCGAAAGACACCGTGGACTCTTTAATCCCGCTCCAGATTTAGAACACTTGCTCTTTTGATCCCCACTCCAGGGTGTGCCCCAATTGTCGGCCTGCCTGTCAGAGGAACCGGAAGATCATATTAAAGCCGCAGCTGCCTGGGCTCTAGGACAGGTTGGGAGACACACTCCGGAGCACGCACGGGCTGTGGCTATCACAGACGTCTTGCCAGTACTGCTGGCTCTGTACTTGTCCCCAGAGAGCTCCGAGGACCTGCAGGTGAAAGTGAGTACTGCTTTGAACCGGCTTGGGGAGACTGGGCGGACACTGACTTAGTCTTTAAAATATGTGGTTTCAATATTTTGATTTTTCTGATGGACTGTGTTGCTTTTCTGAGTCAGGAACTACAAAATCTGTCAGAAGATTGGGTAATTTATCTTTGAAAACTGGTTACCCTTGTTCCCACAGTTAGTGATATATTTTCAAGGAAATTTTACACAGATAAAAACTTGGTTGTAAAGTGAATGTCAGGTTTTTGCATTCTGTATTGCTATTGACATTTTCTATGAAATAGGAATGGAAGAATAATAGAATTGTTGAATGTGGAGTTGCTAGAGAGTACACTGTCCCTTTTTACTTTAAAAAACAGAGTCCCAAAGAATTTAAGTTGCTTTTCAAAGATATAACTAGTAAGAGAATATTCCTGAAGTAAATATCATTTACTTCTCCTAACTTCAAGGATGTCTGATCTTTTAATTCTTTGTCTTATTTCTTTTTAAAGTGTGTATAAGATTCACTAACATTTTTGAATCATGCATTTTTAAAAGGCAAGTTTTATGAGAAAATTATTACTGGCTGTCAAGGTGATTCATGAAACATGCACAGAAGTAGTATGGACTATTTAATAATTCTACAATTAAAAAAAAGAAATATTTTATAGCATACATATTGGGAAAATATGGAGGTCTTTGAACTGAGGGGGATGTTTACCACAGACAGTAATTCCAAATACACTGAACATGGCCAGCCGGATGGCTTAGTGAGTCCAGGTGGTCACTGACAACCCTCATGACCCGAGTTCAATCCCCAGGACGCACATGGGAGAAGAGAATCTGACCTAGGCCACGTCACCCACTGAGCCCCACGTACTTGCTGTAGGCACACACAAAATATATAAATAAATGTAATTAAAACCCAAAATAAAATTAATAGTAAAGGACATAAACATTTAACTAGATGGTTAAATTAGTGAATAGTAAACATATTTACTGAATGTAACCTTGGATGACAAGGCAGAAAGTTCCCAAGTTTCATGACAGTGAGTTTCTTTATCTGGTTATGT